TGTTTCGGGTCCGGTTTTCTGCATATAAACTGACATTTTCCCAGCTACCAACAGTTCCAAGGAAGGGTTACCAGACCCGAAAGGTTAATTCTGATTTTTTTTCTTCACAGATGCTGAGGGACCTGCTGGGCTTTCCCAGCAACTTCTGTTTTTATTCCCAATATAAGGCTCCCTTGGTTCACATCAACCGATTCTACATGCATTCAGAATTATGTCTGAGATCATTCTATTCAATTTACATCCTAATTAAAGTTTTATTCTCCATCCATAGCAGTTGTAAAGAAATAGCTCAACACAACCTTTGGTCATAATGCAAAATTTCCTGACCAAAAAAGGATAAATTTATTAACGAGAAACTGCTGCACAATTTTCTTTTATTCCCTGCACTCTCCCAAGATTTCAAGGTGTCACAACAATTTCTACACCAACGATCAAAGGACACTTGCTCAAGTAATACAGTCCCTCACCATGAGCTGCTTTCTTCTGGTACTAAATCCAATTGCAGTTTCTTAGTCTGGGCTCAGAATGCTGACATTCTCGGAAATACACTTCAGTGTTTAGCAAGCCTGTGCGGTTTCCAAGAGGCTAGCAGAAATATTCAAAGCATTTTCTTTCTTCTCTTGTCTTTCAACACTATTTACTGATAAGCTAACGCAGCTCAAGTTAGACGTCTGGTATAGATGAAACTAAATTCCGTAACAGCTTGGCATTACACCGAATTCCGAGAATATCTGATGCAGTTACACTGCTAAGCCGCCTGGGCCTTTTTCTGTGAACTCACAGAAAGTATGAATATCTGTTTATTTCCCCTCCTGCTCCTCATGATGGAAGTTATTCTTGCTGAAGTACAGGTCCACAGATAGATTCATTGGTTAAGTGGCTATTCTACAACACAATCCTGGGCTCAAAGTACCCATTAGCAGTTTTCTAAGCAGGTCTTTACAACTTGCTTTGGTCCAAATGTCATGCACATTACAGTAGAGGTCACTGGAAACAAATCAAAATGAAATATGAAAACAGAAATTGCTGGTCTGGCAGCATCTGTCAAGACAAATCAGGATTAATGTTTCAGGTCCAGTGACCCTTCTTGAGAACTGGGTTCTCAATGAACAGATTGAGTGCAGGTAAAATGGCAGAGGGAGGGGTCCAGGTGGAGGGAGAGTGTTGGTAGTGGACAGAGAGTACTGTAGAACGGGGAGAGGACTCTTATCCAAAGAAATTGGCATGGAGGCGAAGGCGATGGAAAAAAAAAAGGGTTCAACGTCATGACATGCCTCTCTCAAAGTGAGAGGTCTGGATCATTATCTACTCACCCATTTTGCTGCACAAAGACAGATGTAGCATCCTTATCCCTGCCCCAGCTGTGATAAGTGAATTCGGTACAGATTCAGGATGGAATGTGGAATTTTTTTAGTCTATAGGCTCAACACCCACTCATGTTTTATACTTGAGTATTATTTGGCCCTGGACTTTGGGTTAGCCCATGCTATGCGCTAAGCACCACAGTGGGTTGCCATTTCTTCCTGTAGCGGGCTAATCATGAAACTCACCCACTCTTATTATTTGTTTCTTAATTCATTCACGGGATGACGGCATCACTAGGTAGGCCATGATTTATTACCCATTCCTAATTATGCAGGGGGCAGTAAGAGTCAACCATATTGTTGTGGATTTGGAGTCACATGTAGGTCAGACCAGATAGAGATGGCAGTTTCCTTCACTAAAGGACTTTAGTCAATCAGATAGGATTTTCCAACATTGAAAATGGTTTCATAGTCATCATTACATACACAAATTTCGCCAGCTGCCATACCAGGATTGAACCCGGATCCTCTGAACACTACCTGGGTCTTTGGCATAATAGCCTAGCAATAATATCACTAAACAATTGTTTCCTCAGTCTGTCACCAGGCATGTTTAAAGGTTTAACAAGTTGTTAATCAACCTGTTTGACCATGTTATGACACACCTTCCACAGCCAACAAGTCCTGGTGTAGGTCTTGAATCCAGAGATTCTGGGTCAGAGCTAGGGACATGACCACTGTGCCTCAATACTTCTCTGAAGAACATATTTTTGGTCATTTAAAATGAGATATAAATACATAAGAGGCTGTAAGCACTTGAGGGCTAGGTTATTGTTTGTAAATGGTAAGGATCACAATAGCAGAGAAGCCAGCCCTGTGGAATGCTCCTCCTGCAATAGATGGGAAATCAGGGACACTTCCAGTATCCATGCTATGTTTTCAGGAAGTGTGTTCAGCTGCAGCTCCCGATTTGTCACTTGGAGATAGATTCACAATGGAGAATCCATGATGCCGAGGTCATGGACAGCACATTTAGTGAGCTGGCCACATGAGTATGGGCTGCACAGACAGAAAAGCTTTGGGTGACCACCAGGAAGCCTGGGCAGGCAGTGCAGGAGTCCCCCGAGGCCACGCCCCCTCTACAGTTATACCGTTTTGAATACAAGTTTCAGAGGGAGCATTGGCCTCTCAGGGGGAAGTAGTAACAGCCAAACTTGTGGCACCACAGTTGTCTCCGTAGCAGACAAGGAAAAAGACTTGGAGAGCTTTAGTAAGAGGGGAGTTGATTGTGAGGGGACCTGATTGTGAGGGGACCTGATGGGCGGTTCCTGTGGCAGTAAACGAGATTATTGAATGGTATGTTGCCTCCCTGTTGTCAGGATAGGGATGTCTCAGAGCGGCTGCAGGGCATTCCAAAGGGAGAGGGTGAACAGCCAGTACTGGGGGGACATGTCGGTGCCAACGTCATGGATAAAAAAGAAAGGTCCTGCAGCAGGAATTGAGACAGTTAGGTAGTAGATTAAAGAGGAGGACTACTAAAGTTGTAATCTCCAGATTATTTCCAGTGCCACATGCTACCAAGTTATCGGGATAGGAAGACAGATTAGATGAACATGTGACTAAAGGGATGGTTTAGGAGGAAGGGCTTTAGACTTTTGGGTCATTGAGACAGTCTCTGGGGTAGGTGGGATCTGTGCAAACTGGACGGGTTGCACCTGAATCAAAAAAGGTCCAACATTCTTGTTGCGAGGTTTGCTCGTGTAGTGGGAAGGCTTTAAACCGATTTGGGAGGGGGAGGGGAATGGGGCACAGAGTTGATGTAAAATTGGGAGCAAGATTCATTCAGAAATAGAAGGAATGCTAGGACAAACGCTTAGGCAAAGAAGGCATGGGCAGGATAAGGCACTTGGGAGAACTGGATAGCTAAATTGTATCTATTTTAAGGCAAGGAGCTTGAATGGTAAGGTGGATGAACTTATGAGCCGTGATCAGCAGGTGGGAATATGATGTTGTTACAATCACTGAGACAAAGTTATAGAGCACGGAAACAGACCCTCCACCACTTCCTCTGGCAGCAGGTGCCATACATGCACCACCCTCTGCGTGACAAAGTTGCCTCTCAGGTCCTTTTTAAAACTTTCTGCTCTCACCTGAAACCCTTTTATTTTGGACTCTCCCTACTCCAGGAAAAATACTTGGCCATTCAGCTTATCTGTGCTCCTCATGATTTTATAAACCTCTTTGAGATTACCCCTCAGACATGGTTGAAGGAAAGGCTGGCAGGTCAACATTCCAGGGTATTAAAGTTTCAGGCATGATAGGAGGAGGGTATGTAAGAGAGGTGGTGCCATTGCATTATTGATAAAGGAGACCATTAGTGCAGTATTCAGGGAGGATGCCTAAGTCGGTTCTTCAAATGAGGCCATCTCAGTAGGACTTAGAAATAAAAATGGACAATTATTTTGCTGGGGTTAGGAGCTTTGGATTAGAATTTCTGAGTGAGATAGAGGAGCAGATATTACAGGCAAATCAAAGAGAGGTGCAAGAGGAATAGGTTTGTAGTGACCGGGGATTTCAATTTTTCTAACATTAACTGGGATTGTCTTTGTGTGAAAGAATTAGACAGGGTTGAATTTTTAAAGTGTGTCCAGGAGAGCTTTCTGTGCCAGTACATAGATAGTCCGACTAGAGATCGAGCAGTACTAGACCTAATCCTCAGGAATAAAGCTGGCCACCAAGTTGTTTTCCTTGCAACAGAGGACGTTTGGGAGGTGTAATCTGATCAAGGTGTACAAAATTATGAGAGGCACATATGGGGTAGATCATGAAAATCATTTTCCTTTGGGACAGCACAAGTTTAAGGTGAGGAGTAAGTGTTTTGAAGGGATCTGAGGAAACTTTTTTTTTCACCTAAGGCTGGCAGAAATATGGAACGTGCTGCCTGAGAGGGTGGTGGAGGCGGGCACTTTCACAACATTTAAGAAGCATCTGGACATGCGCTTAAAATTACAGGGGCACAGTAAGCTATGGACGAAGTACAGATATATTGGATTAGTGTAGTTTGGTGTCTGTTGGTCGGCACAGACATGGTGGGCCGAAAGACCTATTTCTATATGTTGTATGACCCTATGTAACATTCATGTCCTGAGAGGAAGATATTGTTTGACAAAATTATTGAGAATGTATCAAGCTGAGTCGATGAATGAGAACCAGTAGATGTAGTGTGTTTGAATTTACAAAAAGCATTCAATAAGGTGCCACAAAGCTAGCATCCAAGTACAACTGGTAATAGGGAAGTCAAATGGCGTGTTAGCCTTTATTTAATATTAGAACAGTCACACTGTGTACTCCAATCCTGAGCTATGCACTTAGGATTCTCCAATATATATCTAACTGACCTTTAAGCGGCCCCATTTCCTTTCATACCCATGTGAGTTTGACAAACATTCTTAAATTCCAATTTGAACTGGGCTGGAAGATTAAGCACTATGGAAAGATAATGTGCTTACAAGCTCCAATGAAATGCTACTAAAAATCAACCTTTTTCCACACAGTTCTCATATTCTTTGCAACTGTCACCTTTTGTCCTCTTGTCTTTTAAGTGAAAACTTCAAACAGGATGGCTGCTGAGTTTTAATTCCATGCCTTACAGATCTTTGCTGTGTACGGGTAAAGTACATTGCAGTGAGAGGTTACCTGATTGATTTGTTTGCGGGAGTTCTTCTCCTTTGGGGAGGACCAGTTTATATTTAGTGTGTCTGTGAAGTCTTCATTCCACTGTAGGCAAAACAAATGATCATTCAAAAAAGTGTCCAGTGTGGGCATACCAGCACTCAGTGCTGTTCTTACCTACAACAGTGACTACACTTGGAAAGTACTTGACTGGTGGCAAATCACACGGATCTTGCAAGGCAGATAATTGCAAGCTTTCCTTTTGTTTCACACTGACATCATTCCAATCCACCCACAAATAAAGTAACTCATGCAATCTTGTGACCTTCCCATGGAGAATTTGGTGGTTGGGAGGGGCCAGCGAGGTCTATTTAAGCAGTCAGGAGGGTAGTAGGTGTTTGCCCTCAGCCAATGGAGGTCCTTACATGGACAATTAATGCCTCAAGGGCCTCATCCTATCAATGCTGTTATTAGCCCAGCTGCAGGCCAAAGGGCTCTACGTCCAAGAATTCAACTGGACTCACCACATAAAAACAGTGGCTACAAGAGCAGGCCAGAGACTAGGAATACTGTGGCAAGTAACTCACCTCCTGACTCCCAAAGCCTGTCCACCATCGACAAGGCAGAGGTCGGGGTGTCATGGAATACTCCATGGGTGCAGCTCCAATAACACTCACGAGGATTGACACCATCCAGGACAAACAGCCCACTTGATTGGCACTACATCCACAAGCATTCACTCCCTCAATCACCGACGCTCAGTAGCAGCAGTGTGTACTATCTACAAGATGCACTGCAGAAATTCACCAAAGATCCTCAGGCAGCACCTTCCAAACCCATGACCACTTCCATCTAGAAGGACAAGGGCAGCAGATATAGGGGAACACCACCACCTTCAGGTTCCCCTCCAAGCCACTCACCTTCCTGACTGGAAATATATTGCTGTTCCTTCTCTGTTGTTGGATCAAAATCCTGAATTCCCTTCTAAAGGCGTTGTGGGTCAACCCACAGCAGGTGGACTGCAGCGGTTCAAGAAGGCAGCTCATCACCACCTTCTCAAGGGCCACTAGGGATGGGCAAGAAATGCTGGCCCAGGCAGCAACACAAATGAGTATGAGTGGGAAGAAGGAAAGAAGTGTGACATGGTTTGGTGGGAGAATGTGCTAATTCACAAGGCACAGAGTGCTGATTGAGGGACCACCCTGTTGCCTTTGCGACCGAATTCACAAACTCCTCAAGACCATCACCCCAAGATCCACCATTCTACTATGAAACTCATTTGCAGTCCAGGATCCGGTAACAATCCTAGGCCTCAAGAAGGTGTCATATCAGCAGCAGCAAATGCCTTCCTGGTGGTGTCAGATTGGCCGGCTTGTCTCAAGAGTCGGAACTCCTGCAAGGCCCTGGATCCCAGTGAAGGCTGATTGCTGGCTTATCAAATATCTGATTAGAACAAAATGCAGCAGGCCTTCTTGGGAAGGGACGATGAGGGCCTGCTGCTGGCTGTCTAACAGATATTTTCGATCACCTATTTTCATGAAGGCCATGATTTCAAGCTCATTTCTACGATTCACAGAAAACAATGCATACATCTTTACAACAGTATTTGGTTCCAGTCGTTAGCAGGAAAAGATTCTGGCTAAAAACTAAAGTTCTTAAATGGGCAACTAATGCCTTAAGGGCCTGATCCTGCCATCAGAGTTAGAAATCACATGACACCAGATTATAGTCCAACAGGTTTATTTGAAATCACAAGCTTTTGGAGCCTCGCTCCTTCTTCAGGTGTTAATGAGAAAGGTAGACACAGAATTTATAAGTAAAAGATCAAAGGGTGACATCACTAATGAGGATGTACTAAACAAACCTAAGATGCTGTTAAATCTTTAATCAGTCAGAAGATTTTACTTGATTATTATGTACATGTAAATCCCTGAATTTCTTTCAAGTCATGCTCTGAAAGAACTAAAGGTTTTATCAGTATAAAGAGAGATGACATTTTAGATCAGACAATGCATGTTAGGTGTGAGGCCTTGTTTAGAATCTGTTTCTGTTTTGGTTTGGAGTCAGACTGGTTTCATATCTAAAGGCGGAATTTATAATATGCCACATTGACTGACAGTCTATAAATTCTGTGCTTTTTGAACAAAATAGAATGTATCTGCAAATACAAATTCACCCCATAGATTCACATGTGTGTATGTGCACACATGTGTGAGGGAGAAAAAGTGTGTGTGTGTATGTCTGTGTGAGAGAGAGAGCACACAAGCGCTTGTGTGTGTGTGTGTGTGTGTGTGTGTGTGTGGTGGA